GCACTCACACTCAGCAAATAACCCTGGGATCTCCGAGCAAAAGTTACTCCCCTCTCTCAGGAAACCTAAGAGCCAATGCAGCCTTGCCCCCCCCCCCAACCCCCGCCAGCACAGGGACCCACTTCAGGTCATGCCCGCAAGCAGCGAAGGGACCCAAGCTTCACTGCCTTCCTTGGAAACGCCCAGGGCCGGTTTCCAACGTTAAGAAGTGAACAGGCCCTAGCGTGGGAGGGATACCGTGGCTACGCATCCAGGCAGGGCCCAGGCGCCCCTTGGTTCTGTTTCTCCTAAGTCCCGGCAGCCCCACGGCCTGTCTCTTCTTGCTTGGGGATGTGGTCCTGTCACCAAGCGACACTGTAGTCAATGTGTGTAAACTCTGATTGGACTTTGTGCTTTTAAGTGAACAGATGAATCTCAAATGAGCCTCTCCGCAGAGTCAGGATTCCAGGTGACTGGCAGGAAGAGTCTGGGTTCTCCACACAATGAGCAAATCAGCAGATTCAGGCACCCTGCTGGGAGAGCAGGTTTAAGAAAAAGAAAAAAGGCCCACTTGTTATATTCTAAAGGCGGCTGGCTCAGGCTGACCTAAAATGGAGGGATGGGAAGGTAGACACGCCCCACCTTTGTAAGACCTAACAGCCGCCCTATTGTAGCAAAAGACAGAAAGGCTAGAAGGGGTGTCATTTAGAATGAAGTGTTCTTGCCAGCGAAAGGAATCGGCCTTAAAGAGAAGTTCCGTCTCCCTTTTTTTTTTTTTTTTGGTCTATGTAATATTCACATGATTTGTGATTGTTGGTTTCCTTTAAATAATATTTAAATAGCTCTGGCTAGATAATTAAATATTTAGATTTAATATCACAGAAAATGTGAGCACTGCTAGGCATTAAATGGAGGAAAACACAAGGAATAAAGTATCAGCCTAACCAGCAACTATGTTTTTTGAACTGTATCATTGTTTTGTGGCGGTGAGGCGGGGTTACAACACTGCATCTGACTTCGGGGAGCAGGTCCCCACCCTTCATAAACTACAGACATCCACCACCAACACACCCAAGTCCTCAAGACAGTGCACTGACCACACACACCCCTTTACTTGCACCCCACCGCTCACCTCTGCCTCTAGAGACTAAATTCCAGTCAGGTTTCTAGGGTCTGTTTGGTTTGTTTTTTTTTTTTTCTGTTCCTCTGTTTTGTGTCTCCCTATGCCACATGAGTGAACTCATCTGGGACTTGTCTTTCTCCTGATTTATTTCACTTAGCCTCATCCCTCCAGTTCCATATGTGTTGAGGCAAATGGTGAGATTTCATCTCAGTTTTATAGCTGAGTAGTGTTCTCCTGTGAGATACACCACATACACCACATCGCCTTAACCCTCTCACCTGGCTTTGGGCACTTAGGTTGTTTTCAGAACTTGGCTATTCATAAAATAGAGCTGCAGTGAGCTCAGGAAGGCAGAGATCCCTTCAAATTAATGTGTGTATTCTTCTGACAGACATTAAGAGTGGAATTGCTGAGTCATGGGTCATCTATGTTTACTATTTTGAGAGAAACCTCCACAGGGGCTGGGCCAATTTACACCCCCACCCCCCAATAGTTCCTTTTCCTCCACACCCTCACCAACACTTGTCATGTCAGGTCTTTTTGAAATGGGCCATTGTCAGGAGTCAGAGACGGTCGAAACTGTACTATCATCCTTCCCTAACACCCATCACCAAAAGTCCTTTAAAGCAGCATAATACTCAGCCATCAAAGTTCGTCCCCAATTTTTTATGGATGATCCAATCTATTTTCTCAGAAATCTTTCTACAAGGGACTCCTGAGCCTCTCTGAAATATTATGCTCTCTCATTCACTTGAAAAATCTAACCTCAAAGTAATTTATGAGATTCACTCCCTGTTTTCAGCAGAAAGGAGAAAATTCACTACCGCAAAGGGTGTGGTGAATAGCTGTGGAGCAAGCCAGGCACCTGCTAAAGAACTAGTGGCTGGAGAAGCTGACAGTCAAGACGTTCAGCTGAAGACCCCATGAGGATGTTCCAGACAAACACCTTCCCGGGACAGCTCAATCCCTCATCACCTCTGTCCCTGGGTGCCAGTGCAGGGTGGGGATTTGTAAAAAGAAGAAAGAAGAACCCCTGCCCCCCCCTTCCCAGGACACCTGTATTTCCAAGCTTCTCTGGCTTGAGGCAATGTGGGTCTCTGTCACTGTTGGCTTATGAATGCATTTCCTAGGAGAGAGGAAGAAGCCAAGTAGAAAAGAAAGCCGGAGATCAGAGAAAGAAAAATCGCTCCGTCTTTGCTATCAAAACATTATTAAATTCATCCCTTTGACATTCTGACAGTAATTGTGCTGAGAGGGATTGGATTTTGTTCAAATTACTTTAAAAGGGTCGCTGCGAAGTTCCTCCAGGAAAGCCAGCAAGCGAAGCGCAGCTTGCGCTCCAGTTCCCGTGTCATCCCCGACCCCCGAGCAGCTCAGGGCTCGGATTTTCCACAGCGCAGACTCCCCCACCCCACCTACAGCACACACCCTCAGCCCCGCCGCTGTTCCCCGCCGCTGTTCCCCTTCCGCAGTGGCCAGGGGCGCGAGATCCAGCTGACTCATTCAAGAGCGCCCGCCTTTGTCATGTTGACACACGCAGGCAGCTCAAGGCCAGCATCTTCCTAATAACCGCAGAGCTGTGACTCCGCAGGCTGCAAGGGAGTATTGTTGGGAAGGACCAAAAATAGTGTTATTCACTTAAAATTTCTGAATGTTCCCTTCCTGGCAGATCTAATCTCAATGAGTTCCAATAAAGTGTAATTTCATGACATGTGTGACTAAAAATACATATGAAAAGAGGGCCTCTCGCTCCGTGAGGAAAGGCTCCTCCCTCCGGCAGTGCCCAGTCACGGCTCTGAGCCCCGACACCCCCTCAACCCCCATGGTCTGGGCACTGAGGCACGGTGGGCGCGGCTTCCCGCGCCGTCCCTTCAGGAAGGAGACCGCCTGCTTCACCTGGAGAGTGGTTTTGTTAATTAAAGGAATAACATGAATGGAACTGGAGGGGGATGATGCTAAGGCAAAACAGTCAGAAGGAGAAAGACGAATACAGGGTGATTTTACTCATGTGGAATATGACGAAAAGAGACAAATGAATAGACAAGATTAAACCGAAACAAGCCCTAGAAATCTGAATGTGGAACTGAGGCGTTCAGAGAAAGTGGGTGATTAGGGAGCAAAGGCAGGAGAGAGCCGGTGGGCTGTGATGGAGGATGATGGGTGGTTTGGTGGTGGATGTGGTGTGGCGCAGGAAGGCTTATAGAGAGTGTCCTAAACCAATGTCACATCGATAGAAATGTGAATAAAAATAAAAGCAGGGAACTGCTCTTTTCACTGGTCAGCATGTGACTTTCAAACTGAAAGGTAACATTCGAAAAATTTTTGAAATTATGTTTTCTCAAAAGGTTAGACAGAGATTTTTTATTTGACCTAGTAAATCTACTCCAAAGAGTATAATTCTCCTAGGGAAGTGAAAATATAGATTCACAGAATAACGTGTGTGCAATGTTCACTGCAGCCCTGTTCACAAGGGCCAAAAGATGGAAACAACCCAAGTGTCCTCATGGGTGAACAAATAACCAACATGTGGTTGCTCCATGCAGTGGAGTATTACTCAGTCATCAAAAGGAATAAAATACCACAGCTGCTATACAACAGGGCCAAATCCCGAAACATGCTGGGTGAAGAAGTCAGTCATAAAAGACTACCTACTGCTTCTACCCATCGGTGGGGAATGTCCAGAAAAAAGTAAATCCATAGAGACAAGAAGTAAATTAGTGGTTGCCAGGGACTAGGGGAAGTAGAGAGTGACAGCTAACAGGTACAGTCCTTCACTTGGAGGGAAGATGAAAATTAAAGTGGTGATAATTGCACAGCTTTGCAAGCATACTAAATAAGCTACTGAATCAGACTTTACAATATGTGAATTGTATCTCATTAAAAAATAGTAAATAGATTTGTGCATATATAAACATGTGTGTACATATGTAAATATACATACACACCACTTTATGCCTTGATCTTGCGTTTCAGAATGAGAATCAATGAAACACAAGTCCTAATTTTCCTCAGCAATCTAGGGTATCTATTGTTTGCAATTCCATGAGGGAAGAGCGAGGCATTTGTTGCTGAGGTCAATACTTTCTGGGGAGGAAAAGAGAGTACTTTGTTATTTTTGTTTTTTGTTTTTTTTTTAATACAGCACTAGAAGGAGGCACCCAACACCAGGGTGGGAAGGAGAGAACCGTTCACTTTACTTGCAGGACTCCTACTCGGGAGCTCACAGGCAGTTTAAAAAAAAGGTTCACTTTCATAATAATTCAGAATGCTGAATACCCCTCACATTCAACGACCAGTTCACAATTTGAATGGTGATTCCATCCAATTGAACAAAATAGCTACTAAGCAACTGACATGATATAAACCAGGTACAACAAAAGCATCATCCCTAGTACTAGTTCAGACACATCCTAACATTGAACTTGAGATATATGAGCAATGAAGCCATTGGTGCTTCCATCAAGCGCCTGGCAACTGGTCTCATTAATGTGCAAATAATAATAACAGCCTTACTTACACAGCTTTACTATGTACCAAGCACTGTTTGAAGCTCTTCCCACACATTAACTCACTTACCTTAGGGCAACCTTGATGTCAGGATCATAATATTCCCGTTTTATAGAAGAGACAGGGGTACCTAGTGGTTAAGGTTCATGTGTAGGTTCACACAGCTATTAAAGAGCAGAACCAGGATACAAACCCAGGACACTCCTGGCTTCAAGGCCCCTCTTCTGACCCAACACTGGCATCAACCCAACTCCCAAAACAATTCCATTGAGCAAAAACATGGAAGAATTGTAAAACACAGTACAATGAGTCAGCTTTGCAGGAAGCACGCTGAAACACGGTGACCTTCACTGCGGAGACAGACACAGTCGGAAGCAAGGTGAGCCCTTACCTGTGGACCACTCCGGCCCGGTGCAGGTGCTCTACCGCAGAGATGAGCTGTCTGATGTACCTGCGGGCTTCCGATTCCTCCAGACGCTTCTTCTCATAGATCTTGTGCATCAGGTTGCCCCCTGGACACAGCTCCATGACCAGGTAGTAGCTGTTTTCCGTCTCTAAGATATCGAGGAGCTGGGTAATGTTGGGGTGGCGGATCATCTGCTGGATCTGTCCCTCCCGCCGAAGGTTCTTGGTGACATAGGTGTCCTTTTTGGCTCTCTTCTTATCAATGACTTTTATGGCCACCTAGGGAGACATACAGAAATGGCTGTTGTCAGACACAGCGCCAAAGGTTATTCCCTGACTCGCCGAGAACCGAGGAAAAAGCACAGCTGCAGAAGAAAAACCTATATAAAGTAGCATCCAGGGACAGCAGAAGACTGTATCATTTGCAAAGATCAAGAGGTTCAGTTCTTAAGGAAGAAGAAAAAATAGGAAGGCCAGTGTCAAACTTGATTCTTGTTAGAGTGAAATGTCAAGTTCTCCTCCAGCAAAGGACTCCTCCCCGGCTCGGCTCAGGGCTCACCATCATCCCTGGGGGTTAGGGCCCCAGGCATCCACTTCTGACCCAGCCAAATGGCATCTAGAATGGAGCGAGGGAAGGACGGTCCCTTGCCCAGCCTGCCTGGCCTCCTCTGCCCGGGTCCAGGCTCCCAGGTCCAGCTGCTCTGGCTGCAAGGATTCCCTCTTGCCCTTGATGACTCACAGGAGGGCGGACTCCCCTCCCACCCAGGACCCCTCTCAGTGCTGTTCCAGGACCGCCTCTCAACCAGCCACAGGCCGCTCCTCCAGGGTCATTTTCCCTACCATCAACACACCCCACGAGCAGACTCTCCAGCACGGGACAAAGGTAGGGGACAAGGGACCAGCCGTGGGCGCCCTGACGTTTCGATCTGCAAACTGCCCTCTGCCCTCTCCTCACTTCCTGCCTCCCACACCAACAGTCTGGTTCACTGAGGACCTCATCGGCGAGCACCTACATACTGGTCTCTAAGAGAGACCCAGGCATCTCCCCGGAATGGAACAGAAGCAGGGGCTCACATCTGTTTGTATTTCCTTTTTTTGAAACGATTCTTTGTACAGTTTTACTATGGCACTCCATGTATTAATACAGAGGTGTGACAAAGATCGAGCAATAAGTGGGTGATCAATGACAAATAGACACGTACATACATACACATGTTTACCAGGATGACACCAACTCTAGTTTCATGACATTAGTTCATGATAATAAACTGCTGCGTGGCGCAGCAGGTTAAAGCACAGCACTAAGAAGCTAAAGCCACTTTAGCAGGAGTTCGATCCCCACCCCAGAGGTGCCCTATATGGCACGGCAGGCCTCTCCTGAACTGCCCACTGCTCCCCTCAGCAGTGTACTTCGTCGATCTGCCTGTTCTGCTCTCCACTCTGTCTCTGGTGAAGCCTCTCGCCGCCCCTGTGCCTCTGGCCTGTACCCCAGTTCTGTGTGCATAAATCAATAAATCTTTAATAAATAAATAAAAGGCTGGCCACCACTGGCCTGGGCAATGCACCCACACCTCCCTCCTTCCTCCCCAGGCTCTTTGGCCCCTCAAAGTCACTCTAAGCTCTGCCTGGAACCCAGTGCATCCGGGACTCTGACTTCTTGCTTCAGACTCGCCGCTGCTGCTCCATATCTTGGATCCAGCACTCAAGCGTCCCACTGGCCCTCCATATTCAGCCTGACTCCAGGATCCCCAGGCTACCCCTCACTCTCCCAGCCTACGCACCTGGTTATTCTCTAAGCACTAGCTAGCACCCCTTCACCCACTCAGAGCCCCCAGTCCCTCTGATGCTAATTCAACACTCACCCCCTTCTAGACAGACTCCCTTTAATTCTCTTTCCCTTTGTCCCCACCATGCCAATCACCCCGATACCATTTAAAGCACTTCAAGCAGGGACAGCACTGCACTTCATAAGCAGTAAATGGCCAACAGGTCATTAAGGGAGCAAATCAATGTGCCTTTTCTAAAAATGTTCAAACAAAAATAGCTGCCAACAGCTTAAACTATTCCCTCTCCTGGAGAACAGAATCTCGTTTTGTTTTGTTTTGTTTTGTTTTAATTATAGTCATCCCCGCCTATCCACAGCTTTGTTTTCCATGTTTCAGTTACCCTCGGTCAACTTGGGTCCAAAAATACTACACACAGTAAGATATTTTGAGAGCAAGACCATGTTCATGTAATTTTTATTACAGTATATTGTTCTAATTGTTTTATTGTATGAGTCGTGACTGTTATTAATCTCTTCCTGTGCCAAATTTATCAATTAGACTCATCACAAAGCTGTGATTGGATAAGAATCATATAGGGCTCAGCCCTATGCACTCCCCCAGGGGTAAGGGTAGCCTGGGGATCCTGGAGACTCTCCCCCAAGGGTAAGGGGGAGTTAGTGTAGTTTTAAACTGATACGTAATTGACACATACACTGTGATAATGCCTGGTGTACCACATAATGACTCCATATATGTACGTTTTACGTACACGATGACAGTAGCTTTGCTAACACCCGCCACCACACATAGTCACAAATGTGTGTGTGTGTGCAGAGAATGTTCCAGATCTTCCCTCTCGGTGACTTTCAAATACACAATACAGTGTTGCTCACTCTAACCACCAAGCTGAACTTCCATATCCTTGAACTAACGTCTGTACCTTTTGGCCATATCGCCCATTTTAATAGCAATGGTCAGGCCCTGAATCCAAAGACATGACCAAGTAGCGACAATCAGCCGAAGGGACAGGACAGGCGCAGGAGCACTGACCCCACCTCGTATACCTCCCAGCCAGGGGCCTGCACTGTCCCAGCCAGCCCCAGGCTGATGCGCTCCCCACACTAGTTAACTAGTTGGGCTTGGCTCCAACTAGTTTAGTAGATGCTGGGTTAAACGTTTTAAAAACTACTTATTCATGATCAAAAGAAAAAAATATATAAATATATACGTACATATACACATACACAGACATAATCATCTGTATGTATCTAGATAGAGATAATGATAGATGACGGATAGATGAGAGAAACAGTTACAGAAGATAAACAGGTATCGAAGGTAAACGGATGGGTGAGTGGGTAGATAGACAGACAGACCAATAGGGACAGACATCTTCATTCCCTTGTAGGGCTGGGGCGAGAGGAATACTAAGAAGTATAATTAGAGTCTGACTTTGCTTGAGTCTGCTGTTATGTTTTAAAAACTGCACCCTTTGGCAATAAAATTCTTAAAAGTACCATGAATAAACAACAGTTTAATAGCCCGGCAGGAATATGATCTGCCTTTTTTAACAGCATACAATCATTATTAGGATAATTTACTTAGCTCTTTAATTGCCTGTAGTATGTTATATAATGGTCCCCCAAAGACATTAAGTCCTAAACCCTGGAGGTGTGAATTTGACCTTGTTTGGGAAAGGGACAGACTTTGACAAGAGATTAACCTGGGTGATCTGGGTGGGGACTAAATCTCCTCCCAAGTGCCCTCGAAAACCTCGAAAACCTCGTAAAATAGAGACAGTGGGACATTTCCCAAGAGCACACCGAGAAGGCGTGAGTCAGGAGCCGGGTAGTGGCCCCAGGGCCATGGCCAGGAACCTGCCATGAGGAGCTGGCGGGAGCAAAGAAGGAGCACCCCAGGGCCATCGGAGGAGCAATTTTGGCCCCTGGCCTCCGGAATGTTAAGCCAATACACATCTCTTGCTGTAAGCCTTGCTTGTAAGCCTTGCTCGTGGCGGTTGGTACAAAGACCCAAGAAACGGACATGTGCTCACTGGGACCCTTCCAGGGCTTCTGAGCATCTCCCATGAAAACCCCTATCGACCTCTCCTGAGTAGGTTCCCCACAAAACTGCCTCTGCACTTCCCAACTCCAGGTCCTCACCGCCGTTGTTTTCCTTCACCCCCAATTGGGCAAGCTCTAGCTCAACAAAAGTGAAAACAGATTGTCATTCTTGATTACACCGAGCCATTTAACTAACTGTGTCTATAACAAATGAAATGGGAAACCTGGATAGGAAATTAAGGAAGAGGCGATCGATGAGCAGCAAAGGGAGGCGCCTGGCTGAGCAGTAATCAGAGACCTGAAGGCAGAACAGATTGAACACAAATCTGCGGAGAAGCTGCTCTGAGCATGGCTTTCTCATGAGAAGATAAACTGCTACATCACGAGAATTGTAAAGAGTAAAAGGAGCCGCACATGCTCACTGAAGAACAAGTCCACAAACAAGATTAGAACTCCCAGTTTGGTCCTTGAGTGTTCGGGGGACTCAGAGGGAGTGAGGGATATATTAAGCCTCAATGCCATCCTCAGTGTATGCCAACAATTTCTATTAGTTACAGAGTAGCACCCCAAAATGATTCACTTGTTGATATTAATTAATTGGAATCTTTATGGTCCCAGAAATGTAAACAGAAGGATTTCCATAAAAGGAGAGGAGCAGAAGCTATCCGTAGCCACTGCAGCACGAGTTCGATTCCCAGTCAGGAGGTGACCCACATGGCTCCGCAGACCTCTCCTGTCTCCCCCCTGCTCCCCTCAGCAGTGTATTTCAGTCTATCTGCCTGTTGTGCTCCCCACTCTGTCTCTGGTGAATCCTCTCACTCACCACACCTCTGGCCTGTACCCCAGTTCTTGCATGCATAAATAAATAAATCTTTAAAAAAGGCAAGGGGTAGTGCCACATTTTCCCTGCTTCCACATTTTCCTGGCTCCCACTAACCTGCAGTCACCTTCAACTCCTGAGCCACTGGGGCAGAGCTGAGCCACCTGGTGCAGCTCTGTAGCACGAAAGCAGGGGCCTCTCAGGGCTTTCCAGCTCTAACTTGCACCCAGGGGCTTGGAGAAGGTGACTTGGAGGAGGACTTGTGAAAGAGAGACATGTGGAGACGTGGTTGAGAGGCAAGTGAGGAGGTTGATGATGGCAGCCATCAGCCTGGCTTGTATTCTGTGTGTCTCTCCACCTGTCCCCAACTTGCCTGGTCCTTTTCACCCCTTTCAGGCAGACCCTGTGTGGGTGGGCATTGGCCTTAGGGGATGACTAATTTGGGATAGGGATTTTCTTTTTTCCTCCTCTCTCCCCATGCTCATGAATTCTATTAAAGATCTGCCACACTAAGAGTATACTTTGCCTTTTTGTGCACAGATGGCCAGATCCCTTTAAAGCATGCACCCCTTAACTGTTTGAGGTCCCTGGGTAACCCTCAGTCCTTCACTAACACATTCACCGTAAAGAACAGAGGAAACTTTGATGATTTCGTGGACCACAGGTGTCACCACAACTTCCACATCACCTTGGTTGGCAACATTCACGAGACACCAGGCAGACGTGGTAGTCGGATTCACATCTTTACTTAGTTGTCTGAAAACTTCACTTTTTAAGAAGAGACTTTTGGAAAAGTCAATAAAAAGACCTGAGCTTGCCACAGTGCCAACTTGCGAACCTACCAAACTTTACAAAGGACGTTTTCAGAGATTGTCCCCATTATTTCCAGTGTGGGAAGCCAAGTCTTACAGTAATG